GCCATGGGGGGGCGGGGGAGGGGGGTCATGAAGCGGAAACCCTCCATGCGCGTTGTACTCCGCGCCTGGCCCCCCCGCGCCGGGGGGACCCTCCTCTAGCTCATCCAGCGGACCAGGGTTCCACCCAGCGGAAGGTCCGCGGAACCTTCTATCCAGCATCCGCGCCGCCGGCCCTGGGGGAAGCTCAAACGGCGGAGGAAAGTGCCCGCCGTTGTCTCCCGCTCCAGGGGGCATCCCTCCGCCGCCGCCCTCCCCGTTTCCTCCGCCTCCGCCTCCTCCGCCTGGTCCCCCTCCTCCTCCCCCGCCACCTCCTCCCCTTCCCCCCGGCCCCGCTCTCCTCCCCTGCTGGTGCGGATCCCGCAGCGGGTGCATGGGGCTGCGCTGATCTAAGCTGTTCCGCCGGTTCTGCTGCGGGTGGCGCAAATGTCCTCCCCCCCTGCCCACGCCCATCGGACTACGGTGGTCTAGACTGCCTATACCTTGATTAAGCGGCGACGGCGGCTCTTCTCCCGCTCCCCGCCTCGGTCCCGGTCTGGAGTATCGCGGGTGCGGGGATCTAGATGGGGAAAAGCTGTTAGAGGGACCTGGGGGACCCATATTTCCGCCTCCGCCTCCGCCCCCCGCGCCCCTGGCGGGGTTTATGTGGGGGGGCGGCGGGGAGCCCAAGCGCGGGCCTATTTCCGGGCTGAACGGCGGACCTGGCGCAAATCTTCCACCAGGCCCGCCAGGCCCGCCCATCCCCCCGGGGCCCAACGGTCCGCCTCCGCGCCCGCCCCTTCCCGCGGGGCCTTGGTAAAGCGTGTTAGGGGGAGGAGGTCCCCCCGGCCCGGGCATGGGGCTACCTGGGGGGCCCATGGGCGGACCATCTCCCCTGCCGTCCATCCTGCCGTCCATCCTGCCGTCCATTCTGCCGTCCATCCTGCCATCCATCCTGCCATCCATCCTGCCATCCATCCTGCCGTCCATCCGGCCGTCCATCCTGCCGTCCATCCTGCCATCCATCCTGCCATCCATCCGGCCATCCATCCGGCCATCCATTCTGCCATCCATCCTGCCGTCCATCCTGCCGTCCATTCTCCCTGGTCCATCTAACGGCGGTCCAAATTGCCCGCGCCTGGACGACTCCGTAATCCCCGGCGGAAACCCGCGCCCCCCTTCCCCTGCTCCGCCTCTTCCGCCAAGCAGCTGCGACGGCGGAAGCATGTGATGCGGGGGAGGCGGCGGGCCGTGGCGGGCAGGAGAGAAATGGAGCGGGCTGCCGCGGAGAGCGGGATTGAAGCGGTGCACACCAGCGGGGGCGGGGGAAGCGGGGAGAGAGTTGGACGGGCGCGGATGGTTTCCACCCCCCAAGTGGTCGAAATGCGGGGGAGGATAGTTATCGAAGGGGTATCCTGCTCCAGGGGGAAGCCCCCCAAGTCCAGGCGCAGGACCGTCTAGCAGCTCCGCAAGCTGCTGCGCGGTGGGCGGAGGCGGTCCTCCGCCTGCTCCGCCGCCTCCGCCCCCACCAAGGTCGAGCCGCGCAAGAAGGGCAGCCGCGGCGGGGCTGGAGGGCGGAGGGTTCCGCGGAAACGACGCCGGGGAGCCCCCACCAAACTCGTGATCGGGGAAAGCAGGAGGTCCGCCTAGGGAATGCCGCGCGTGGGACATGGGGCTGGCGGAAGCGCTACCGGGGCCTTGGCGCAGGTGCGGGGGGAGATGGTGCTGATGCGGGGAGGCGTGGTGCAAGGGATGGTCGGGGGGAAGCTCCGCCAAGTAACTCCGCGCGTCCGGATTCCAGCCCCGCCCCTCCCCGCTGCCCCGCATGCCCACTTTACTATGAATCAGATATTCACCCCCAGGCCCGCGCTCGGCGCCGGGACGAGATCCGCCCCCAGGCCCGGAAATGCCGCCTCCATGTTCGGAATCTGCCGAGCCAAGCCCGTCTAGGTCCGGCGGGAGAAGGCTGCCGTTGAGGTTCGGAGTGTCCTGCTCGTCGAAGCTGATAAGCTCGTCTGGAAGCTGATCCCTAACGTAACGACGATACTCGTCGTCAGATGAAACCGAGGTGTTAGACGGAATTCTATCTAAAGAGGAACCTTCGTAGTTGGCTTCCTCTGCTGACAATCCACGACTAGAGGAACCCTCCCCATGCGCATTTGCCTGCGCATACATGTTCCCTTCCGCCGAGTGAGCATTCGCTCCCCCTTCTCCGCCGTCGCCGCCTTCCCCGCTTCCGCTACCGCCTTCAGGACCCGCGCCGGTTCCGCCGGTTCCGTCGCTTCCGCCGTTTCCGCCTGCGCCGGAAAAGCACGGAACGAACGCTGCAGCGTTGGGGTTGAGGCAGATGCGCGACGGGTCGGGGGGCGTGGGGGAGGGGGAGCGGCCGCGGAACGACGCGAGCTGCGCGGAGTTGCCGGGGGTGGCGGAGAAAGAGTCGCGGGAGGAGGTGGTGAGGGGGGAAGAGCCGGAGGAAGAGAGGGAAGACGAGAGAACTTGCGGGGAGGAGGAGGATGGGGTTGGAGAGAAAGGAGGTGCGTGTGGCTTGAGGGCAGGGAGAGTTGTGGGGGAGGAGAGAGACGGTGAGTTCGGCGTGCTCTGCTGAAGCTTCGAGAGAAAGCACGGCTTTAAGGAGCCGCCTTGCGATTGGTCATCTGAAAGAGAGACACGGAGCAGGAAATAGGGATAAAGGAGATTACGTTCCTCAAGAGGAAGCAACATTGAAGCCAAGAAATTGGTAGTCCATGCTGATTCGCTTGCACAGTGATCCAATCAATAACGGACGGAAGCAGTGTCATTAGCCGGGCATTGCATGCGGCGACGGGTAAAACAAGGCGAGAAAACCTGGACCATAGAAACAGATAACGCCTCCCCGAGAAACAATCCTCACAAATCAAGCACTTTAAAAGATAATCTCATGCGTCCATGATTTGCGAAGCGCGAAACAGGATGGATGAACCAGAAAAAAAAAATTTATCCGAAGAAAATGCGAGCGTGTCGAGGCCATACGGGACACAACAAGACGAGGCCTTTCGACATCGTTTATTTCTGGTAAAATTTAGCGAATAATTTGGCTGCACCCTCCTGACTGTAATGCGGAAGGTGGTAGCCATCCGAAGCCTGAAAAAACATTACTGTCATGGAACGGTAATTTTTAAAGTATTAGTAGAAGTTAGCAAATCCGCAAAGACTCACCCTGAGGTGCTGCCTGCGTTGCTCCTGCTCCCGTCGCACCAGGCGCGGAAGCAGCAGCGGCAGCAGGCCGATCATTTACTGCAGTTTCCGCCATTTCGACGGATGTCGCGCTCCTGCGGGCGCGCTAAGGCGGGACGGAGACAACGAGACGGAGCGCCGCGATTGGCGGCGGAGCAGCAACGGCTGGCCGCTGCTGCTGCTGCGAAAGGAGATCGAGCCGCTGCAGGTAGAGAAATCCCCCGTCGTCATTCCACGCAGCTCACCCGCCGCGATACGCTGCGCCGTGGCATACACGGCTAGAATTGATTCCCTCGTACTCGGATTGTGGTTCTTAAGCGCACAGGCTATGAATGGTTTCTGACGAAGAGCAACGAAGAAAAGAAAAACAGAAGATAAAGGGGAAGGCTTTTATTGTGGACATTAAGGAAGAATCCAATGGCGGTTTTTTTGGACAATGCTCCTGGCCTCGGTGGAACGGGGGGCTGCTTACCTTGCTGCTAGCTCCACATCACATACCACAAATGCTGGTTGGCTTGGTCCAGCTTGCTCATGTGGTGTGGAGCTATGGATGTCTGGATGAACCCTGGAGTTACCCTGGATGCCTCGAGAGGAGACATGGAACTGTAAGGAAACGAATCTTCTGTGTAGATCGAGTTTGGTAAGACTGGATGCACATCGGTTTATGTAACATGCAAAAAGGTTGAGAAGTTTACCGTTCAGGGAAAGAAGATGATCCCTCGGGTTCTGTTCTCGTTTGTGGTGTTGCTTGCAGATGGTGAGTCGGTGATTGGTCAATTGGCCACCCTTGAGGTTGCCGCCGCCGAGCCGAACGAAACCTGGAAGTTGGTTTCAGTTTGGGAGGGATGATTGGGTTGGTCATGATGGGTAACAGTCGTCATGAGTCGTACGACGCAGGCGAGGCTGACTACGACGACTAAACCACGCTCCTAGTTGAGGAAGCGACGCAAGTAAGCGCGTGCGACGATATTACGGCGACACACGCTCCCTCCTGCTTGCCCCCTGCCCCCTGACCTGAGTTCGCCTGACCTTGGTAGGGGCCCAAGGGTATCAGGCTCGGCGGCTAGCTACGTTCGGGCGGACCGCAAGGCGGCCAAAGGTTTCAGGCATGACAGCTCAAAACTGAACCTGGCATGAGGCTTGTTTTGGCACACGCAGAGGTTCGGCAGTTGCGCGGTGGTCTGCCTCGAGCCAGATTGCTTTCTGGCCAGGCAATAAGCAAGGGCTTTGGTTCGGGTAAGCACAGCACCCGAGCAGGCATATGGACATTGCAGGCTCGGGTGGCGGGAACATTTTCTCGCGCCTGGCAGGCAGTCAGGTGGACAGCTAGGGTGGGCTAATCCGTACGTAGAACAGCACCCAACCACAGCCATCCCCGCTAATCAAGGGTTGTCAAAATGGCAGAACTTCGCAAAGTTACCTATGAACAGCACCTACAAGCAAAATAATTAGCCCCAGAAATGAGCAGTTTACATAACTATCACTAGCAGGGATAAATCATGCACAGCAGACTTAGTGTAGGAACAAATTGAAGCAGAACACTAGTCGTTCTTAATCATGGAGGTTGAGGCTATTTGGCTGTGTCTCAAAATTTTCCCGCCTATTCCACGCTCCCTCAGTTAGCTCTGTCATATCATCCTCCGTCTCAGTCTAATGGGTAAAAGTACCTTCAAACTGCACCATGGATTCATGTGATCGTCAAGGTGAAAATAAAGAACTAACGCAGCAGCAGCAGCAGCAGCAGCAGCGCCAGCAGCAGTTGTTGCAACAACACAGCCAGTGTATCAGAAGCACCACCACGAGTCTTTGAGTTAAACACTCCCACCACCATCCCCTTCCCCAGCTTCAGCGACCGATTCACTTGACATATCCTTGGACCTATGTCCCTTCTCCTTCTCCTTCCTCCTCCTCCTCTCTTCCCGCCTTGCCTCCCGCTCCTCCTTGCTCCTCTTGCCTCCCCCCACGCTCGACACGTCAGATAAAGAGTCATCATCACATGCACCACATAAGCCTTCCCCAGATGCACCTTCCCCTGCTGGTGGCATTGATTCATCCGAACTCGCGGCACGTGATATTTTCTTTGACTTGCTCCTCTCCACTCCCTCCTTTCCTTCCTTTCCTTCCTTCTCCCTTCCTTTCTTCTCCTTTCCCTCCTTTTCCTTTCTGTCCCTTTCCTTACCTTCCTTCTCCTTCTTCTCTTTCTTCCTTCTCTCCTTCTCCTTTTCATCCTTCCCCTTCCCCTCTTTCTCCTCACCACTCCTCTCCTTCTCCTTCCTTCTCTTCTCCTGTCCATCCTCCACACCATCTGCTGATGCCCCTGCTTCTCCTCCACCACCAGAAACAGCAGCACCACCAGCAGCCTCAGCAGCTGCCGCCTCAGCAGCGGCCTGTTCAGCCTTCTTCTGCTTCCTCGCAGCCCTCCTTGCCTCCTTCGCTGCAGCGGCAGCTGCAGCATCCATATCACCACTCACACTACTATGCCCATGGCTGCTCGTGCTGCTGCCAGCAGGGCTGCCAACACTCGCAACACTTCCACTGCCCTCCCTACTCTCCCTGCCCTCCCTACCCTCCCTGCCCTCCCAGCTCCCACCGCCACCGCAGCTAACCTCCGAAACTGACGGCGATTTGCGGTGCTTTGGAGACCCCTTCTCCTTCTTCTTCTCCCGGTGCTTCTTCTCCCTCTCCCCCTGTGTTTCCACCGAAGACATCGTCCTCGCTCGCAACAGAGACACACTGTCATTGCCCTCCTCACCCCCATCACCCCCATCACCTCCATTCCCCTCATCACCCACTGTCTTGGCCCGCAGCAAAGACAGGTTGTCCCCGCCCGCATCAACGCCACCAGCTGTATCACCCTCGTTGCATTCACCCCCCCTTGGTGTTTCCGGCACCTCTGTCGCCCCTGGACTTCCCTTGTCCCCACTTGGACTCTTCCTCGCTTTCCTCTCCTTCCCGGTCTTCGCCTTCTCTTTCTCCCTCCTCTCCTCCTTCTTCCCCTTTTGTTCCACCGTCTCTCTTTGTTCCTCCTGCTCCTTCTGATTCTCATCCCTGCCCAGCCCCTCACCCTCCCGACCCTCCTCAGTTGCAACCGACGTATCCTCCTTAATATCATCTTTGGCGAATGTCTTAACATCCTCCTTAGAGTATTCCTTGTTACTGTTCTGAATATCCTCCTTCATATCCTCCTCAACATCCTCCTTAGTATGGTTGCTAGTATCCTCCGCAGCAAGGTCCTCTGTAGTGTTGATGTTGTTACTGCTATCCTCCTCAATATCCTCTTTAGTATCATCCTCCTTAGTATCATCCTCCTTAGTAGGCTTCCTAGAATCCTCCGTGGCACTGTCCTCAGTATCCTCCTTCATATCCTCCATAGTATCCTCCTTACTGCTCTCCTCAATATGTTCCATAATCTCCTCGCTAGAATGCTCCTCGCTTCTCTCATTATTCACCGAACCGCCACCCTCTATATTCTCCACACCCTCGCCTTCAGCAATTGCAGCAGGGGGAGCAAGGGCAGCGGGAGCAGGGGAGGCGCCAGCAGCAGCAGGAGAGGCACCAGCAGCAGCAAGAGCTTTAGCCACAAGCCCAATCCGCTTCTCCTCAGGCCATGCAACACTGTCCTCTCGAAACAAAGGCACGTGAAATTTCTTCTTCGTATTCCCGTGTCCACCTCTCCCCCATCCCCCTACCCCTGCTCCTCCTCCTGCCGTTGCTCCTATCCCTCCACCTCCTCCTCCTGCTGTTCCTGCTCCTGCTCCTGCTCCTCCTCCTGCTCCTGCTCCTCCTCCTGCTCCTGACCCTCCTCCTGCTCCTGACCCTCCTCCTGCTCCTGACCCTCCTCCTGCTCCTGCTCCTGCTCCTGCTCCTGCTCCTGCTCCTGCTCCTGCTCCTGCTCCTGCTCCTGCTCCTGCTCCTGCTCCTGCTCCTCCTGCTCCTCCTGCTCCTGCTCCTGATTTCGCACCCGCCCCAGTTGCTGCCTCGGCCATTGCTGCTGCTGTTGCCGCTGCAATCATGCCAGAGGACCCGAAAGACACAGAGGAGCGAGTGGCCTGAGGAGGAGGAGCAGGGGAGGAATACGAAGGGGAGAAGGAAGGGGACGGCGCGAACCCAGAAAACCCCGCCTTTCCGCTTCTCACCCCCGCTGCTGCTGCTGCTGCTGCTCCGAGCGACTTCTGAGGCGACTCGAAAGTCTTCCCGCTCCTCACCCCCGCTGCTGCGCCCAACGCCGCAGCAACCACGCTGCTTCGGCCGGTCAACGGGCTCTGGGGCCTCCCAGACCTGGGCGTGAGGTTCGGCGAGCCCGAGCCTTCACCGAACCTGCCGAGTCGGGCACCAGCGCCACCAGCCAAACCAGCCCCAGAGGCTCGGGGAGAGTTGCTGAGAATCCCGGCCGCTGTCAAGCGCTCGTGAATAGGAGAGGCATATCGTTGGGGGGAGAGGGTTGGAGAACCGGGTAGATCCGGGGAAAAGTCCTCTCGACTGAGAGAACGGGGCCTGCTAGAGCGAAACGGCCCAGAGGCAGGACCAGAGGCAGGACCAGAGGCAGGACCAGAGGCAGGACCAGAGGCAGGACCAGAGGCAGGACCAGAGGCAGGACCGGAAAAGAAACCACCGAATTCTCGGGAGGAGGAACCCGGTGCATCCCTGGCTAGGGAGTCACGAGAAAGCGAATCTCGAGCAAAGGAATCTCGAGAAAATGAATCGCGGGCGAAGGAGTCGCGCTTGGAGCTTCCGGAGAGAGAGATGGTGACGAAAGAGCCAGCAGAGTCCGACCCTGCTCCAAACGACAAGTCGCCAATACCACCACCGCCGCCGACGCCGCCGATGGTATTTGATTGCGTTAAAGCAGCACCGGCAGCAGTGGGAGGTGAAGAGCGCAGGTCACCAGCAGCAGCAGCAGCAGCAGCAGTACCGTCTGTGCTGGAGCTTGGTTGAGGGAGGGAGCTGAAGCTGAGGTCTAGGCTGCGGTTACGCTGTCGCGGTGGTAACCGCTTGAGGAGCAGGTTTGAAGCAAGGGAAGGGGCGGCTTTGCTTGGACTGGCACCGGCTCTAGCACCATCCGTGCGACCAGAAGTGCTGTTAGCACCAGCACAAGAGCCATCAGCACCAGTAGCAGCAGCAGCAGCTGATGCTTCTGCCGCTGCAGCAGCAACAGCAGCAGCAGTTGATGCTTCTGCTGCTGCAGCAGCAGCAGAGGAACCTGGAATGCCAATGTCGCTCCTGAACCCTCTCATACCCTCTAAAGAACCTCCCCCCGCTGCCCTTCCTGCAGCTGCTTTCTCTCCTCCAACCCCTCCTGATCCTCCTACCGCTCCCACTCCCAACCCCGCTCCCGCTCCCCCTGCTCGCCCGAGCATACGAAGGAATCTGTTACCTTGCTCTGATAACCTATCGACAGCCGATGCAAACCGCTGCTCCCGCCCCTCCTCCTCCACCTCTCCCTCCTCCTCCCCTCTCTTGTCTTCCCCCTCACCTCCCTCACTCATCTTGCCTCCAAGCTGCCCCTGCTGCGCCTGCTCCCCTTCCTGCCGTCCCTCCTGTTGCCCCTCGCCCCTCTCCCCTCCCACCACCCCTCCCTCCGCCTGCTTCACTCCCTGCCTGCCTATCCCCTCTCCTGCTCCACCTGCCTCTCCCGCCCCTTCCCCCCCAGCACCCACCACTGAAGCTGCAATCCCTGCCACTGCAGCAGACGCCGCTTCCGCTGCTTCCGCTGCTGCTGCGGCTGCTGCGGCTGCTACAGCGGCAAACCCCCCCTGTGCCGCGAAACCCCCCTGTGCTGCCGCCCCTTTCCCTGCCACTACTACTGCCCTGCCACCTTTATTCCCCCCTCCTCCTCCCAGCTTCTTATTCGCCAGGGCTTTCATGAATCGCTCCCTTTGCTTCTTAGCCCTCTCAATCCTCTCCCTTTCCAACTCCTTCTCGATCCTCTCCCTCTCAATCCTCTCCCTTTCCTCCTCTGTTAGCGGTTCTTTCTCCTCTCCACCCTCTCTTGCTCCTTCCTCTGCCTCTGCTGCTGCTGCTGCTGCTCCTTCTCCTGCTCCTCCTCCCCCTGCTCCTCCTCCCACTCTTCCCTCCCCTTCCCCTCCTCTCCCTTGTGCTCCCTCCCCTCCTGCTCTTGCGGCTTCCTTCTCCTTTCCCTCTCCCTCTCCTCCTGCTGCTGCCACTGAACCTGGAATCCTCACTACCTTCTCCTCCTTCTCCCTATCGTTTTCCTTCTCCTTCTCTTTCTCCTCTTTTTCCTCCTCCTTCTTCTCCTTCTCCTCCCGTTTCTCCTCCTCCTTCACCCCCTCCCCCTTTCCACCTGCTACCGCACCCCCTCCTCCCGCCAACCCATCCCCTTCCTGCACCTTCCCCGCACTTTCCTCCTTCTTCTTCAACTTCTGCAAAAAGAGTTCCCTCTGCCTCTTCGCCCTATCCTGAAACGATTCTACCCGTAATAATGGCGTAAAACGTGGGATACTAGCCCCTCCTGACCCTGAGGAGGGTTTGTGTGGTTCGGTGGTGGTAGCAGTAGTGGTAGTGGTTGTGGTGGTGGTTGTGGTGGTGGTGGTGGTGGTGGGGGTGCTGTTGGTGCTGCTGCTGGTAGCAGCGTTGGCAGCGGCAGTGGTGGTGGTGTTGCTGCTGTTGCTACCCCAACCAAACCAGCTGCTTATGACTGGAACCTCTGTTGCCATCTGCTGCTGCTGTAGTTGTTGCTGTTGTTTTTGCTCCTGCTCCTGCTCCTGCTGTTGCTTTTGCTTTTGCTTTTGCTCCTGTTCCTGCTGCTGCTTTTGCTCCTGCTGCTGCTGCTGATGCTGCTGCTGGTGCTGCTGCCAACCCCAGCCAAACCAACCGGTGGCAGGAGCAGCAGTACCAGCACCACTGCCAATGCCAGTCGAACCTCCCCCAGTTAAGCCCCCCCCCACATCATTCTCGCCGGTTCCCCCTCCCTCCCCTTTCCCCTCATTGAAATCCACAAACTTTACCACTTTAGGCAACTCCGAACCACCCTCCCCTTTCCCCTCATTGAAATCCACAAACTTTACCACTTTAGGCAACTCCGAACCACCCTCTCCTTTTCCCCTCTCCTTCTCCAAACTACCAACCTCTCCCCCTCGTCCCCCTCCTTCCCCTTCCCCTTCTCCCTCCTCTCCAAATTCCGCCACCTTCACCACTTTAGCAAGTTGCTCTGCTGAACCTTCCTTTCCTGATTCTCCTTCCCCCCTTCCCGTTCCCTCTCTCCCTCGCCCTCCCTCCACCCCTCCCCCTCCCCCTCCCACTGCCACACGTGCAAGGAAATCATCATCAAACACAACCACTTTCACTACCTTGGGCTCTTCCTCAGTCCCTTTCTTTACACTCACAATTCGTTTCAATGCCGATTTCCTAGGCCTCGCTCCCTCTGCTCCCGCTGCCCCCCCTGCTACTGCCGCTGTTCTTGCTGCTGCTGCTGCTGCTCCCTCCCTTTCCCTCTCTTGCTCAGTCTCTTGCCCGTGTTTCGCTCCTACCTCACTCCCCAAATCCGCACTTGCAGTTATGTGTGGCGTCTCATGCTCCTGCCCTTGCCCCTCCTGAAATTTTCCCTGCTGCCCCTGCTGATCGTGCTGCCTCTCTTGCTCCTGCTGCTGCCTCTCTTGCTGCTGTTCCTGTTGCAGCAGCTGTTGCGTCTGCTGCCTCTCTTGCTCTTGTAAACGTTCCTGTTGCTGCAGCAGCAGCTGTTGCTCTGCCAGCACCTCTCCCATGTGCTTTTTCCTCACCCTTTGTGGCCTGGGCGCCTCTGTTACCGCCCGTTTCTGCTGCTGCTGCTGCTCCTCCTTCTGCTTCTGCAGCTGCTCCTGCAGCTGCTCCTGCTGCTCCTCCTCCGTCTGTTTCTGCTCTGTATACCCGTCCTGCGACCGCTCTGATACCACAACATCAGCTTCTTGCGTGTGTGGCATCATCCTCATCATCACCCCCTCCTTGCTCCCCCCTTCTTCCGCCTTCTCCCCAGCAACAGCCACAGCCGCAGCAGCAGCAGCCGAAGCAGCAGCAGTCGAAGCAGCAGCAGCAGCAACCCCAGCAGCATCAACAGCACTCAAACCCCCCTCCTTCACACACTCCCCAACTCCCCCTCCCTCGTCACCACTTCCCATCCCCTTTTCCCCACCTCCCTTCTCAACACCCATCCCTCCCCCCTCGGGCCCCTCTCTTGCTTCGGGAAGACTCCCTCCCTTCTCCTCCCTTTCATAAGCCCAGGAAAACTCTCCTGTGTGCTCCCTTTCAGGACTGAAGGAGGTTTCTCGTTTCTTGCTCCTGCTGAGACTCTTAGGCAACGGGTGTTCACACAGCGGGCTGACCGGCCGAGGGCTCTTAGCGAATTTGCTTGTAGCGAAGATGCTTCTAGAGGGGCTTTTACCGGTGGGGCTATGAAGCGAGGGGCTTTTAGCATGCGGGTTGGACGAGCTTCTAACGAACATGCTTTCAACGGGGATTCTGGCGTTCGGGCTTTTAGCGAAGATGCTTTTAACGGGGCTTTTCGCGGTGGGGCTTTTAGCGAAGATGCTTCTAGAGGGGTTTCTGGGCCTGGCACTAGCAGCAGTGGGGCTGAAAGGAGTGGTACTGCTGCGTTCACTCCAGCTAGAGTGCTGCTGCTGCTCGCCCTGCATGCTCCGAAACTCTGCACCGCTCTTAAACCCTCCCGTATCCCCTGTACCTTCCTTATTCCCTCGCTTCTCCCTGTTGTCTCCTTTATCTTCCTTATCCCCTCCCTTAACCCCTCCCTTATCCCCTCCCTTATCCCCTTCCTTATCTCCTCCCTTATCCCCTTCCTTATCCCCTTCCTTATCCCCTTCCTTATCCCCTCCCTTATCCCCTCCCTTATCCCCTTCCTTATCCCCTTCCTTATCCCCTCCCTTATCCCCTCCCTTATCCCCTCCCTTATCCCCTCCCTTATCCCCTCCCTTATCCCCTTCCTTCGGGCTGTTTAAAGCCACCTCGGACATAAACTGATGACTTCCCTTATCCCCTCCTTTATCTCTTCCCCTGGGGCTTTTCAGCTTGCTCCACGCACTAGCAATGAGATTCCTCGGGCTCTTTCCCCCGTGACCAGGGCTTCTTCTCCCCGCATGGCTAGGAACCTGGCTACCATACCTGGGACTGATCAACCCCTCACTCACTTGAGCCCCCTCCCCATCCCCCCAACCGGAACTCATCCCTCCTTCCCCCACTCCCCCTCCACCTCCCACTCCCCCTCCTTCTCCCTCTCCTCCTCCTCTCCGGCCGCCTATCCCCCCCCTCAGGGGGCTTAGAGGCGCCAGACCAAGCAGCCTGGCTCGGGAAGTCCGAGCCTTGGCGGGAGGCTCGTCGGCGGACCTGCAGACCGGGATGCAGATTCGGGGGGAAGGCTCGGCGCCCAACCCTGAAGATTCGGAAAGAGGTGGGTGGGAGGAGAAAGAAGGTGGTGCTGCCAACTGGTGTGAGGGTCCTGCTGCTGCTGCTGCTGCTGCTGCTGCTGCTGCTGCTGCTGCTGCTGCTGCTCCTTTTGGGCTGCGCTTGGGGCTGCGGGGAAAGAAGTGCGGCAAGTGCAAGCCATGGTGATGTCGATGGTGGTGGTGGTGGTGGTGGTGGTGATGGTCGTCGTGATAGCTATTGTGCTCTTGGCTGTCCCGACGATTGTTCTCATGATGATTGCTGCTGTGGTGGCCCTCAGGCTGCTGGTTGCTCTCATAGAGAGTGGGGGTGTGATGACCACCCTCCCCACCTTCTTCTCCCACCACCCGCTTCTCCTCCTCTCCTCCCTCCTCCCCTTCCATTTCCTCCTCCTCTTCCTCCTCCTCACCAAACCCACCTCCCGAGTTGCTCTGAATGGTCAAGCGAGGCGGGGGGGTGCGTGGGGGTGTGCGTGAGACTGCGTGCAGCGTCTTCTCGGAAGCTTCCTCCCGCACCACCTCCTTCACCTCCTCCCCGCCAGCCGGCTCATCCCCCCCCTCGTCCGAAATTGACGTCAGATCAGAAGTTACATCTGAAACTACATCTGACGTTACATCTGAAGTTACATCTGGCGTTACATCTGGCATTGCATCTCCCCCCGACTCTCCCCTGGTTAGGGTGAGGCTTGCTCTCTGCTTGTTCCTCCGGCCTCCATGCACCTGCACCGAGCCTAGTGACCCTGCCGAACCTACCGACCCTACCGAGCCTAGTTCTCTTCCCGAACCTCCCATCACAGCTCCTTCCACACGTGTAACCGCCTCACCCACTTTCCCACCAACAGTTGTAACCGCCCCGCCCACTGCCCCGCCCACCGCCCCTCCAACAGTTGTAACCGCGCCGCCCACCGCCCCACCAACAGTTGTCACCGCACCACCAACCTTACCACCCACAGTTGTAACAGCTCCTCCCACCGCCCCACCAACAGTTGTAACTGCACCACCAACCTTACCGCCCACAGTTGTAACAGCCCCTCCCACCGCCCCACCAACAGTTGACACTGCTCCTCCCACCGCTCCTCTCACAGATGAAACCGTACTCCCAACAGATGAAACGGCTTTCCCACGAGCAGATGAAACGGCGCTAGTTAACCCGCTAGCCGCGCCACCAATCTTCGAAAGGCCCCCTCCTATAGCGGCAAAGGAGCCTCCTATTTTCCCCCCATCACCACCACCACCACCGCCCCTGCCACCGCCCCCGCCACCACCAATCTTCGAAAGGCCCCCTCCTATTGCGGCGAAAGAGCCTCCTATTTTTCCCGAGTGGGTCTTAGCAAAGGAAGACCCTGAGAAAGACGCAGCGTTGTTCTTAACTAGTTGACGATCCTCGTTGGTAGCACCGCTGCTGGGGGTGCTGCTGCTACTGCTCTCGCTGTCACTACCCCCACCCCCACCACCACCACCACCGCCACCGCCACCACTACCATCACCACCCCCACCACCACCGCCACTGCTGATGCTGCTGCTGCTGTTGATGGTGCTGCTGGTTTCAGGCGCCGAAATTTCCCATTCTGCCTCGTCCTCTGCATGCTTCCCTGCCTTACCCATGCCACCCATGCCCTTCCTGCTCTTCCCCAGACGTGACCCTATTCCCCCCACCGCCCCCCCAATCCCTCCCACCGCGCCCTTAATCCCCCCCCTGATTCCCCCGCCAATATCCGCAATACCCCCTACCGTGTGGGTGATTCCGCCGACTAGCCCCTTCCTGCTGCTGCTAACCCCCTTGCTGATGGAATGGGCGAAACTTCCGCGTAATTCCCCAACAGTGCTTGCAATACCCCCCACTGTGTGCACTATTCCTTCCCCCAGACCAGAAGACGAATGAGGTATCCCCCCCCCATGTGTGCTGCTTCCCCCATGAGTAGCAAACCCATGTGCGGCTTTAATACACTCCTCCATAGTAGTTCCCGCCTCGTCTAAATACCACTCTATAGTAGGCTCCCAGATTTCCCGGAGCACCTCAGGCTCGGGAGGAGCTTCGACGCCGTCGCCAGACGGGAGGTCCAGGTTCGGGAAGCGAGCCAGGACGTCGCGTTTGGCTTTCCACGCGGCGTGGGCGGCGGATAGGGCGGCGACGGCGGCTTTGCGTGGCTGGGGTTGCTCGTTGAACCCTAGGGATGTGGGATGGGATGAATCGGCTGCACAGAGAGCGGAGGACGGGGAGAAGGGAAGAAGGGAAGAAGGAAAGAAGGGAATTGGGAGACACACGGGGAGGCTGAGTGAGAGGCGGTCCATACGGCTGGCAGGCATGATCGGCGGATAGGGCAACTTTTGCGGCGCCTCAAGAGGCTGAGTGAGAGGAGGTCCATCCATACCCCTGGCAGGCGTGAACGGCGGATAGGGCAACGACGGCAGCCTTGCGAGCCGGTCAAAGGGGAAAAGGGGAAAAGGGGAAAAGGGGAAAAGGGGGGAAGACAGTATGGGCGAGGAGTCAATATTCGACAGGGACTGACTTACCAGTCAATGATGCACAAGTAACAGTAACCAATGAAACATCGAGGCGCTTTAGCAGTATTGCGTGTTCTTGCAGTGTTTCGTATCTTGATTGTTACGCGTTGGTTTATTCGTGTGACCGTCGGAAGAAAACAACGAAATAAAAAATGGAAACAAAAGAAAAAATGCATTTTGCTTCAATCAATGTACCTGTCGTTTAAGCCGCTTTTTCAGTCGTTCGGTTTCGCCTGGCTTCTCTCGCTGCAGGTCCGCCATATTCTTCAACAGATGCTCCCACGCGTCGCTCGACAGCATTCTCGCTCTGGCCATGCGTGGCGAAGACTCGCGAACTGAGCGAAAACCGACGAAAATGTAGTCGTACCTGATAGCAGCCACTTTTTCAGTCGTTCGATTTCGCCCGGCTTCTCTCGCTGCAGGTCCGCCATATTCTTCAGCAGATGCTCCCACGCGTCGTTCGACGAAAGCGCGACAACCGTCCACGAAACCGTCCCCTCGTCTTCGCGAATCGTCGCGAACGCGCCCAGCGGCCTCACCGAGTACAGCTGTCCCGGTTTCGCTACCGTGCCGCCGATCTCTATAACGCGTACGGGCTCGCCGGCGAATGGCAACACCCGGCCGTTCCCCACATCGCATTCGTCCTTAGGATCCTGCCACGTCTGCGTCGCGATCCCGATGTTCCACGTGGCAGTTGCCGTGTAGCGCGCCGCGCCGCCGTCTCGCGCCACGTGGCGAATAGGGTTGTAGTCCTCGTCTTTCGCGACTTCGACTATCGCGGACGCGCCTTTCGGCGTGTGGCAGAGGAAATTAAAACCTTCGTCCGCGGCGCGGTGCGGTACGCCGTGCCAGGGGGAAAGTATCTGAAATTCGTCATCGAAGAATAATCGACGGTGCGCGAGAGTCCCTTCCGGACCAAACGCGACGACGGAGATTCCATCCGCGTGCTCGTCGCGTTTAATCTTCGACGCCATTGGTGCTCCGTGCTCCGTGCTCTTAAAAAACAGACCTTAGTAAACCACGTGTGCAATGCCACGTGGGCAATCCCAAATGTACCCGGCCACGAGTGCTCACGCCTTGAGGGAAAAGCCGCATTTTATTGGAAGAAGTCACGCGTTTGGAACCATGTGTGGCGGAAAAGCATGGCCATGGCGAGTTTTTTTTTTAAGTAGCTAAGCAAAAGGTTACTGTGAAGAAATTGAGTTGACTTTACACCAAACCAGTGCTACTCATAGCTGACGGAAGCTGGAAGCAAGAGCTCGTTTCCACGCAAATCGAACATCAAGGCAAGTACAAAGAACTGGGAAAACGTGGGCGGGGAGGAAGTGGGGTGGTGGTGGTGCATGGAACATGACACCATTCTGTAACACATTAGAATTTTACTGAACCACAGTTTACCGTCGTAAACCACTTTACAACTGTGAACTACAGATCTGTATTGTAGGGGCGCCTGTGTCTCGTCCAGGCCTGTCGAAGTTTCTGGGGCTCGTACTTGCGCTCCCCAGCTCCTCCGCATCTGAGATGGCGTTCCTGAGATGGGGGAAGTTCGGAGTGCTGCACTATTGGTCCAGCGTGGCAGTCCTGGGTATTTTGCACACCCACCACACGTGCCATGCGATGTCAGTCTCATTGTGCGAAAAACAAGTGAGAAAACTTCCAACCAATCACATGCTTCTGTATTCAACGTTCATGCGCCAATTCCAAACGGCCACAATCTCCCATAACACGGTCGAAAACAGTCTGGGGGGAACCCGGTCCTGTGACAGTCAAAAACGTCAGTGGTTCTGACGTTGGGCGTCAGGGGAAGTTGCCATGCGCAAAAATCGCACGACCCTCACCGCCCAGCTCATGCGACGTCCAGATTCACTCCCCCCGTTGCTGCCATGCCTTAGGCACGTGTTCTGTGCACTGTTGCTGGGGGAAGTTCGGATGGGGCCCCATCTCAGGAACGCTATCTGACCCTTGGTCGGGTGTAGGTGTGCGGTTTGGCGCACTTAACGGTCACGGGCGCACCCCAAAGTGAAAACTTGAAATCAGGGCATGTTTGAAGTTTGCACTACACTCTATTT